GGCAGAAACAACTTTTCCTGTACCCTCATGTTATAAACCCTCATTTACATTTGAAGAATGGACTTGCTTATTGCTGCGAGGATAGTGTTGTAATTTTTACATATTAAAGTTGACTCATGGCATTTCTAAAGTATTCCTGTTGGATTTTATAATTGTCAGTAATCTCAAACTGGCATAACAAAAAAATATATAAAATGTTTTGATTAAAAATCTGGGGATTTTAGTGTCCTGTGTAAAATTTTCTTTTCCTTTGTTAGTTTTACATTTCTGTAGAACATTCACCTTGAGGCCTAATAGGATAAAATACTCTTGAGGAGAGGTCATAAATCCAATATTTTGTTCAAAAGCACTGAGGAAAAAAGTAGATTTGTTACATAATGTCCCTGGAGTGGAACTATGTCCTGGGGGTGCTATTTGTACCTATAGACACATGGACTCCTAACTTACTGGTTGGAGCCTGCTAGTGTTAATCAGTTCTAGTGCTGGTGAGTGGTCAGGAACCTGAAGGCCTTGAGGACATAAGACTGGCAAGGTCTAGGATTGCTTCCAATTTGGTGCCCAAAACCAAGAAAATACAAGCAACACTTTGTGGGAGAGTTTTGGCATGCAAAAAGGGGAACCCCCAAGCTCTAGCCAGATATGAAGAACATACCCTGGCACCAGTCCATCTGAGCGTCTGCTTCCCCAAGCTGCACAGCTGGGACCCCATCCTCAGTTTTTCTCCCTATAGGAGACTTGGCAGAAAGCTTTAAATGAGATCCTACTCAAGAGCTTTAAGGTGTTTTATGTGGGTACGAGACCCTGAAGACCTGTCATGCAGGCACTGTTTTCTGGTAGGGAACTTCTGTTAATCTTAAACTGCATCTAGACGTGAGAGGCATCTTACGTTGATAAAATTGCCTAGGAGTTGAAACAAAGCTGGAGATACTTCCCTTTCTAAGAGGTCTGTGATGCAAATGGAAAACCCAGAGAGATCATTGGCATTTTAACAGCAATATTTTTATTGCTTTTGAGGATTCTCCTAGAGCAGACATTGTTTTGTACAGCTCTTTCATTTTTGGCATTTTAGAAATAGTTGCAGAAGATATTTTCTCTAAAAAGAAAAGATGCCTAGTGTATTTGAAGGTGAAGGAGCTCAGACTTAAGAGGACAGGGTCTGTTGCTATTTTATGAATCATCTTTGCTTAGCACTTGCATTTTGATGATACTTCTTACTCCCAATTCCAGAGATCCTTTTGAAGTCCAGATCAATAGGACCCCATCTATCCAAACCCTAGCCCTTCAGGAACCTGAGCAAGAGCAGTGGATTCTATTGGCCTATTTAGGACAATTGCAGAGAGCTGGAAGCGAACACAGAACTAGTTGAAGCAGCCCTGCTTGTCTTAAAGCAAGGGGAATGGGAGTCCCAGCTGCTGGGGAGAGGCATACAGTGGGTCCTCCCTGATTTGCAAGCTTAGTAAACCCAGGAGACAGGCACCCATTGTGGAGAACTGCATGCCTGGTCAAAGGCTTCTTGCAGTTTCTTAAGGGTTTCGTCAACGTCATTATTGACCAATGAGAGATCAAAATAGTGAGCGTACTGGCTGCGGATGGCCTCAGAATCCTTCTGTAGCTGCTGGAGGGCTTCCGTCTGTAAACAACAAAGAGTAATGGCTGAAGCATCCCGGGCTCAGGCCAAGGTGAGGTTTTTAAGCAGGCATTGATTTCTGTTAGAATTGTCCAGTTCCCTATCACCTGTTTTTGTTTTGTTTTTGGCATGATGCTGGGGGTTGAACCCCGGACTTTCTGCATGCTAAGCAAGTACTTTACCCGTGAGCTATAACCCCAGTTCTCCCTATCCAACTATGTGAAGGATCAAACTCGGAAGATATTAATTGCCTGAGGCAGTCAATTAAGAACACTTGCACATCTCACAGGATCTCAAGGTAACCCTGATTATAAATAATCAAAGCCCTCTGGAAGATCAATAGTAGCTGTTCCATAGCATGGACTTCATTAGCATCTCCCAGTTAATGCCTTTTAGTGTGCTACAGAGCCATTTCAGCAACAACTAAGAGTTGTAAAGTTGTAATCCCAGGGCAAAGATAAATGTGTCCTAAAATCATAGGACTTTTTTTTTTTTTTTTTGGTCCCAGATCAAATCACTATGAAAACACTGGTCATTAAACTACAGAAAAGTGAAAATGATTGCCACTGTTATCACAAAGGACCAATAACCCTAATATAGAGTTCCTGGAAATGGTAAGAAAAAGGCCAATAACGCAATGGGTAAATGAGCTAAGGATGTGGCCAGATAAAAAGTATGAAATACATTTCTACCTCTATTCGAATGGCAAAAAATGAAAAGTTTGACAAAATTCTATAAGCAAAGGGAAACATTCTCAGGCCTCTCTTTCCCCATGGCCATACTGTACCCCAGGATAGGTTCAGTACCACTTATATTCTTCACAGCTCTCTGCTTGCCCTACCAAAGCTCATACCACACCAGTGTCAGGACCTGCCACTCGATCCATATGTCTCAACAATGAACCTATCTCATTTGCCTCTGTCACTTGAGTTGTGGCCTAATGAATAGAACTACCCAGAC